TGTTGTATTGTGGTGAATTATGATCAATGTCATGAGACAAAGTGTATGTGAACTGCTGTATGGAAAGTGAATTTGCTCTGTAAATTTTCACCCAAATCATCATCATCATCATCATCATCATAAATAAATAAAATAAGAAAACCACCTTTACTGAGGGCAAGTGCCTAGCTCCAAGGTCCAGGCATGGATGGAAAGAAAGGAGGAAAGGGTGATTCAAATAAGAGAACTATGCAGAGGGAGCCAAGGCTGGCATGGACTCCCCCTACCATAGGGGACAGCAGAGGAGGAGACCCACCTGGGCTGACCTTCTCCAGAAGGACTGGACCTGTGCCCAGCAGGACTCTAGTGCTGGGCCTTTATGTACCTAGCCACATCCTTCCCTTTCCCCTTGCCCAGGGCCTGACTCAGACCATGGAGCGCTACGTGGACCACGAAGCCCTGCAGAAGATGGTCAGATGTGCTGTGCAGGACTACAGCTACAAAAATACCATACCAGGCCACCCCTACTTCCCTGAGAAGTACTGGCTCTCTCCAGAGGAAGGTAGGGCTTCACCCTTCACCTAACCCTGACCCCAGCAGTGACTCCAACAATGACCTCCAACCTGAACTTAACTTGGATCTTGACATCCACCCTGGTACTACATCAATCTTATCCCCACCCAACTCTAACTAACCCCCCACTCCAACCTGACTCCCAGCCACCTGACCTGACCCTGTCCTGGCATAGGGGGCAACAGGGGAAGAGGAGATCCAACTCCTGCCTTTGGTAGCTCCCTATCTGTACTAAAGAACTGGAAAAATCCTTAGAAACTGGGTCTTATCCTCAGAAACAGAGAGGGTTTTAACCTCCCCCCAAAACAAATAACATCCCTCCAAGTGTATTCTAGATACCATCCCTTCCCATCTTCTTAGTGACCCAGTTCCATCCTCCCCACCGTGTATTCTAGATACCATCCCTTCCCATCTTCTTAGTGACCCAGTTCCATCCTCCCCACCAGGCATCCCTCTGTTCACCATGCCTCCGTCTCCTCAACCAAGAAACCTTTTCTAATCTCTTCCTTCCTAAAAATTTTCTCTTGCTTCTCCTCTTCACAGCCAAGCTTCTCAGAAACAGTTTATGCTCAATGTCTCCACTTCCTCCCCTCTTCTTACAAACCTTATGAGAAATTATCTTTCTCATAAGGTTAGATATTTCTAGTCTGTCTTCTGTGCATTCTATAACAGCAGAGATTCTTGTTTTACTCACAGCTGTGGCTCCTGCATCTAGAACAGTGCCTGGCTAAGTGTTTATTGGATGAATCAATGAAGAATTGAAATTGGGAGTCTGCATCTCTTACCTTCAAACACTAAAACTGTTCTTGTGTGGTCTAATTGCCAAACCCATGGGCCTCTTCTCCCTTTATCTTTTGAGACCTATCCTATGCCTTTCAGTCTCTGACCATCTCTACTTCTTGAAACTCTTTCCTTCCTCAGCTTCTCTGATACCTCATTTTTCTGGGCCTCTTGTCTACCCACATAAGAAAACGTGGGGTGCCTCAGGGTGCCTTCCTGAACTTTCTTTTCTCCTCACTCCTTGAAGCCATTTTCTCTAACCCATGGCTTTAATTACTGACAGTTCCAAGCTGTTATCTCCACCCTTGACCCTCATCAGCATTCTATGTTCCTCCACCTGACTATGGTCATCTTTACCTGGATGACCCCAAACAACTCAGACTCAGTATGTCCAATCCAGAATTTTAAATCCCAACATTCCCCACCACCACCACACACACACCTTTAGGACTTCCAATTTTCCTTTTGTAATGTCTCAGTCCGTTCTTTTGACTATTGGGGTGGGAGTGGGGTTGGGATGAGAGGGAAGATCATGTAGGGCCTTGCAGGATAGGCTTAGGTGCCTGGGTATGTGGGGCTTTGAAAGGTTTTAAGTAGGGAGTGTTTTGGTTAGATTATCATTTGTGAAAAAGTACCAAAGATTTATATAGATGTTGGATTTTTAAAATGAAGCAAGGAGATCAGTAGGCTAATAATAACTTTTCATGTTCCAAGTGTTTTACATATATTAACTCATATAAACCTCAACAACCCTATGAAGTAAGTAGAATTATTGCTTCCATTTTAAAGTTAAGAAAACCGAGACAGAGCAAAATCAATTAACTCAGTCAAATTCACACATAGCCAATAACTGGCAGAGCTGAAATATGAACCCAGGCAGTCTACCTGCAAAGTCCATTCTGTTAACCATATTATACTGTCTCCTGGTTAAGGGACTGTAGAGATACAGGAGTGAGCTGGCAGGGAACTGGAGAAGGGGGGGGGGGTAGATTCAAATGATTTTAAGGAGGTGGGAGAGGCAAACCTTGAATGTGGAAGAGGAGGGAGAGGGAGGAATTGCGAGGAGGTCCTATTTCTAGCTTGGCTGATTCAGAGACCGCAATACAAAGATGAAAAGTGATTAGCTCAGAGGATCCATACTCCATTCAGAAGTTGCCTGGGGTGAGAAATGGGCTGTATCTCAGCTTCTAGAACAAGTTGGGGGCCAGGATAGGCTTGGGAACTGGCCTGAGGGAGATAAATGAGAGCCAGCTTTGTGCTGGGGACTAGAGGGGAAACATCTGTGTGTGTGTCCCCCAGATCCTGGGGTGGAGTAAGGAGTAACACACATCCACACCTTATAATCAAGCAGAAAAATGCAATCCAAACTATCTGTATGGTGACCGGTACGCCACATGGAGGATAGGACCTTACAATAGCACTGGCTGGAACAAGTATACCACCTGCCTGCCCCGACTGCCTAAGGTACCTGCAATTCGCAGCACAGATGCCTGGGGTCTGGGATGCATCCCCCTTCCCCATACCAGGCATCCATCCTCTGCCACTGAGTTGATACGGACTCATCCTGGGCACAGTGACTACTATTTCACCATTAGTTCCTCATCCCTTGCCCACCAACAATGCTCCGGTGCTCTTTACCAGTCTTGCAAGTAGTGTTTGTATTTCTAGGGAACAAGGAAGCCCAGGAGTGGGGTTGTGTTGGGCCCCAGAGTCCCAATCTTTGTGGGCATCCTGAATTCTAACCTCCAGAGGTGGGTCCCCTAAGTCCCAATCTCTGACCAGGGTCTGTGGGGGACACAGCTGGCATGCATTCCTTGAAGTGCTCCCCCATCCCCCGGTGGTGCAGCCCCTGTGACACTGAGACTGGCCTAGGGGCCAGTGATGAGCTGACCGTACTTGCTCCGTCCTCCCCTCCTTTGTGATGTGAACAGAGACAACGGGAGGGGGAGTAGGGCCACTCCAGGCAGCACAGATAAACAAAAGTCTTCCGCGGAGACAGGCAGGAAGCGGTAATGTGAGAGGATCCGAGGTCAGAGCAGTGCTTCTTAACCTTAGGCTGACCCTGACTGACCTCAGCTAACTGAAACCTATTGAATCAGAACTTTCTCAAGAATCAGAAATTTTCAGAAATTCCTCTGGTGATTTTGATGGGCAGGCAATATTGAAAATCCCTTATTAGAGAACCACACAGACACTGCTAGACGGAGTCAGCTAGACAGAGACAAAAGGGGCAAAAATCAAAGACAAGCTCTAAGACTGGGTTGTCAGAGGCCCAGGGCCAAATCTCCTCCGGCTTCAGCACCTTCCCCTGGGAGGCGGAGCAATTGCGTTGCCAGGAGACCACCTCAAACACTCAGAGCAGGAGGTGTAGGGAAGCCGCTGAAGGGCAGGAGAAGCGCGGCCTGGGGAGGGTCTGAGTGTCCTGGGAGGGCCCCCAAGGCAGCTCCTCCTGTCAAAGCTTGCGGTAGCGCGTGTGCCGTTTCCAGGACGCCGGGATGGAGACGGTAGTTCGAGGAATGCCTTTGCAGTACCCTCCTAAACCCGAGCGGCTGAACGCCTACGGTAACGAGGGGTGTGGTGATGGAGGGGAACAGCAGGGTGGCTACTGGGGATGAGGTAAAAGCCGAGGGCCCGGGAGAGAATGTAATCGTATTTCTGTCTGCTCCGCCCCCCCCCCCCCCCCCGCTTTGGTCTTCATCTGTCTCTGACCCTCTTCCTGTCTCTTCCCATCTCTGTGTCGCTGGGTCTCCCGGCCTTGGGGCGCGGGCTCAGAGCGTGAGGTCGTGGTGAACATGCTGAATTCACTATCACGGAACCAGCCGCTACCGCAGATCACCCCCCGATGCGGGTGCGTGGACCCGCTGCCGGGGCGCCTGCCTTTCCAGGGTTACGAAAGCCCTTGCTCGGGCCGTCACTACTGTTTGCGCGGGATGGACTACTACGCCACCGGGGAGTCCTGCCTTCCACGTCATCTGCCGCCTGGGTGCCACACGCAGCCGACTGTAAGGTTCGAAGGGTCTGGCCTGCCTCAGCCGGGCCCCGTCCCCAAAGAGTCCTGCCCCAAACGAGCCCTGCGCCAGGGCTGAGCGCCCTCCGGCCCGGCCCCAGCCCACTTCCAGCTGGGTTCTGGCCTTTATACAGACCTGCGGTGCCCGTCCATTGGAACCCAGGGACTGAATGACAGCTCGGGCTGGAGAACCAGCACGAAGGTTCCAATAAAAACCCCATCTCTGTCGTCGTCGTCCCCTCACCCCACCCCAGGACAGGGATCTGGAGGAAGAAAGTGAGCACCTCAGTCACAATCCCTTCCCAAGCTCTCCGATTAGGCTCCTACATTGACACCCAGCTGTAGGGACGCAGGTCTTACTTAGCCAGATGGGTGCCAGGTGTCTTCGGAATAGCGTCCTCTCTTTCTGGGCCTCTGGTCCCCATAGGTGGTACTACGCTGGGTCTCTGCTGGGAGCTAAGTGAGCAAGAAGGAGCTCCGGGGGTGCAGTGGTTAAAGCATTCATCTGCTAACTAAAAGGTCAGCAAGCAAAGGCACCAGCAGCTCCGTGGAAGGAAGACGAGGCAGTCGGTTTCCCCAAAAGATTACAGCCTTGAAAACCCAATGGGGCAGTTCTACTCTGTCCTCTAGGGGAGCTGTGAGTCGGAATAGACTCCAAGACACTGGGTTTGGTTTGAGCTTTGCTGCAATAAAGCTGGACAGCCTCGGAAACTCTATGAGGCAGTTCTACTCTGTCCTCTAGGGGCTCTGTAAGTCTGAATTGACTTGATGACAGTGGGTTTGGTGGGTTTTTGGGATTTTTTGTTTTTTGGAAGTGAGGCAGGAAATGCTGACCGCTTTACCAGAGCGGCCCTTGCCTCCTTGGAGTCCAGCACCCTCCGGAGGGAGACACTCCCACGTGTAGCAGCTGACCAGTCCTCTCCCTGCACTCAACTGGCAGACAGGGCAGGACAAGCCTGGGAGAACTCAGGGAGCTCTGAAGAAGTACGTCAGTCTAGAAAGCTAGGCAGAATGGGGTCCTGAAACCCTAGCACTTATCCATCATCCCCTGGTGATCCCCTGCCCCTCCGCAGGCCGGGAGAACCTGGTGCCTTGTAAGAGTTTGGGTCTTAACCCTCATAAGGGTATGGGAGCTGGGAGGGAAAGTACCTTGGAGAAAATGTCCCATGGCAGGGATGCGGGGCTCCTAATTTCCTCCAACAACCAGAGCCCACCCCTCCCCAGAGTCCAGCGTGCTCCACAGCTCCGTCTGGGTGTCAGAAATGGGGCTTTATGGGGAGGGGGGCTTCCCAAGGTGCTTCCGGGAGGTGGTGCTGTGGTGAAGTCTCGAAGGGTACAGAGATTCAAGGAAAGCATCTCTGAGCTTTGAGACTGATGCCTGAAGTGCCGGCCAGAAGCCTAGTCTGGGTTGGAAGTTAGAGGGAATATCAAAGACCCTGCCCATTGCTTTTTCCTCCAGGGCTGTATCTCCTTACGAACACCGGTCCGGAATGCAGTGTGCTGTTACAACTCCCCCGCCGTCGTACTACCCATATCCGAACCTTAGGTAAGTCTCACAGCACACTTAGAAGCACTAGGAAGACTGTCCCCTTGGCACGCGCCAGGGAACTAGTGGGGTGGGAAATTATCCACTGCTATGCACTCACTGAAAGATGCCACGTGGGGGCGCAAGTGCCCTGAGGAAGTAAAACACTCACACACCAAAAAACCCAAACCCCTTGCAGACCAGTCCATTCCCACTCATTGTTACAGTATATAGGACAGAGCAGAACATCCCCTAGGGTTTCCAAGGCTGTAAATCTTTACAGAAGCCGGATACCACATCATTCTCCTGCATGCGACTGGTAGGTACAAAACACCACTTTTTGTTAAACCACTGGGCCACCGGGGCTCTCTGAGGAAGTCAAAGCAGGCTAGGAAATGGAAGACCCCAGCAGCAAGGAGGCCAGTATTGAAGGGTTAGAGTTTGGCAGTGGGGCTTACAGTCAAGAGATCAGGGCACTGAGTTTAGCTTGAAGTAGAGTAAGACCAAAAAAACAAAAAAAACAAAAAACCAAACTCACTGCCCTCCAGTCAGTCCCAACTTATAGTGACCCTCCTTGGGTTTCTGAGGCAGTATCACTATGGAAGTAGATTGCCCAATCTTCCTTCCAAAGAGTGGCTGGTGGGTTTGAGCCACCAGCCTTCTGGTTAGCAGTCAAATGCCTTAGGCACTCCACCACCAGAGCTCTCAAAGAGTAAGAAGACAATGTTAAAGAGCAGATACTGGGAATTAGAAATGAAATAGGAGGCCCTGACGTCAGTGTTGGAGCCCAGAGTCAGTGTTAAGGGACATAATGCTGGGATAAAGTCAGCATTGAGAATTAGGGTCAGATGGTCTGATGTTCACTTAGACATATGAGGGTCCAAAAGGGCTGATCCATCTCTCCCCACAGATGGGACACAAGTCACTTCAAGAAGACTGGTGGTCTCTTGAGAAACAACTATGTTGTCCATCCTGAGTTTGTGTCTGAGACCTATCCTGAGTACGGCTGCTGGTAGAGCCCGGGCTGGCCAGGCCAAGGGGGCTGAACAATAAACGCTTCACCCCCAAAGGCTGCCTCCTGTGTCCTTGCCCAACAGGATTTGACAGTGAAGGCCCTGCCACTTATGCCTCTGCCAAGCCTCTAGACTGAGATGGAGTTTCTCAAAGTCACCCTGCACTGAATCACAACCCTACCGCCCCAATCTCAGTACTTCCCTTGGGTGGCACTGAGTGACCTCCTGACACATAACAGTAGTCATAAGTAGTCCTACATCCAGCTGGTATCCTCCCCTCTACCTCAGAGCCCAAACTAATGAGTTCATCTAGCCATGCAGGGAAAGCTCCTTCTAGGCTGGGTCCATCTACTACCCACCTCATGAGGCCCTCCAGCTGACAGTTCCCCAATATGCATCCCAAACTTGGGCTTTCTCTTGCATCTAAGAGGACCCAGAACCTCCATTCACAGTCAGCCCTGCCCTATGCCCAAAGCTCCCAGAGTCTCATCACAGTTCCCCAAATGTCTCTGTTCAAACACTCTTGATGACTTCTGTCAAAATGTCCAAAACATAATTTAGAGGGAGAAAAGGGGAGTCCCTCAAGACCAAGAAATTTAAAACTGCAAAACAAAGCTGTCTTTCCCCACAGGGAGCAAGGGGTAGGCTGTTCTGGAATCTCTAGGATCTCCAGTATTTCTCTCTCTATATGAAAAACGTGAAACCTCAGAGTCTTGCACTCCCTTTACCCTCTAACCCTCAGGGGCAGAGATGTAAGGAGGCACGCCTGCCTCTAAGCACCACAGGCATTTTCTAACTAAAGGCTGCCACCACAAGAAGGGACTGGACCTTATAAATAACCAGGTTGGGGGAGGGGGCAGAATACCGAGAAGCCGGTCTTCCCAGTCCCAGACCTTGGATACCGCTGGTCTAATCCGGTAGGAACAGCCTAGGCCTCCCTGCTAATGGAACTACAGGCTCCCTCTGTGGCGTCCTTTGTTGGGCTCTCCCTGCATTGGACTGAGATCCTCTCGAAGTTTCCCTATCCCTTTTCCACAGAAGAAAACTGAGAGGTAGACTGAGAGGGCCAGCCCTGACACTTTATCCTTGGGCTTTCTCCATTTCATACACATGCCAAACCCCAGCCTGAAGGTGCAAGAACCCCAACAGACTGTGGCCGCACCTTCCTCCAGAACTACATTTCCCAGCAGGCTTGAGCCGAGACCCGCCTACCCGGTGGTAAACGACAGCCCAGAGAAGGCGGGCCTGTAGGCAGGGGGCGGACCCGGGAAGCAAGGGCCTGTGGCTGGACAGAGATACCAACCAGGGGCAAGGCATCCCGCAGTGGGTGGAGTGTGGGGGCTTAGGGACGGGGCCTCAGGCCCGCGTGACAATATGTGAGGATGGGTCCGATGCCAGGGGCGGGGCAGGACTCTGTGGCCCGAGGCGAGACTGGATGTCCCGGGCGGGGGCTGAGCCGCCAGAGGGCGGGCCCTAGGAAGACTCCTGCTGTCCCCAGCCAGGCTGCGTCCCGCGCCACGCCGCGCCAGTTCAACTATAAGTACCACGAAGGGACCTGCGGGAGCCTCCCTTCATCCCCACTTTCTGCGGTGGCCATCACTGACGTGAGTGAGCCCAGCGGAAGAACCTTGGGGGACTGCTAAGGGCACACGATTCCTGAACTTTCGCTCCTACCGATGAGTCGGTGGGTCCGGAGGCGTACCTAAGGTATGGCAGGTATGGCACGTGCCCCAGAAAAGGGGGCCCCTTGAACAGGTTATATTAACCTACTATGGCCCAACATCCTACCTCAAGCACAGTAGACATCAAGAAGTAGTTGCGGGGGCGGGGGGGGGCACTTACCCCCAGGCGTTAGTCCATGGGGGAGCCAGAGGGAATGACATTCTGAGGCACCACAAATATAAAAGGAGCCTGAGGCAGCCGGAAGAGGGGGGGGGCGTTTCTGCTGGCACGTCCACACAAGCAAGGTCTATTGATCTTGAAATTGGGGAGAGCACAACTTAGAGACTGCCCCTAAGCGCTGTAAGGGGTTGGAGGCGCATAACTTAGAGATTGGCCTGGCGCTGTTACCCTCGCTAGGCTTCTGAGTGGGACGAGCCTGGACCCCTGCGCTGCTCCTCCGGGCGGCAGTTTCCAAAAGGCAACAGGCCACTTGACCTCAATCTCCCCTTTCGGACAGTGTAGCTGTAGGGCGGGGTGCCAGGGGTGGTGTGGAGTATTCCAAGCTGTAGGCGCTGTCACTCGATCCCTGTGGATCCCGTGGCCAGGGGGGGGAGGGAGATGGGCAGATCAAGTTGCCTTTGACATTTCCACCTCCCTGGGAACTGCATCCAACAAAGGACTCACCTTGGAACAGCCTCCCCTCAGTCAGGCTGTGCCCTCCGTCTCAGATGGAGGTAGGGGCTAGCAGCCAAAACTGAAGTTGAGTATAGAATAGAGTGGGGAGAGGCTACGCAGGGACAGAGCCCAAGGAGTGTGTCCACAGATCCCATCTGCTGGCATTAGCCTGCAGCTGGCCAGATGGCAGAGGCAGCAGATTATAGGGGTCTCTAACACCACGGTTAACATCAGGAACCAGAGTTCCTCCCCCATCTGTCCCCTCCATAAATTTTGCCCACAGCCCTGGTACAGATGCCATTAAAATTGCCCCTTTCCCTTCCTAAGAAGCTTTTGGTCTGCCTGGAGCAAGCAGTAACACCAAGCCCTTGGGAAGACAAGCCTCATCATGCCCATACCACCTGATGAAAGTGTGTCTCACCTGTGTCCCACCATTTCCTGGCCACACACAACTCTTGTTCCTTTTTCTCCACTGTACTCAAGCAGCCCGGCCAGACGATTTCTCCCATTTCCCAAAACTTATGCTGTGGGAGGTTAAGCTGGGATTTCAGATTCAGGCAACCTTGCTTAACTTGAGTAACTTCAGACAAGTCTCTGTTTGGGTTGTTTCCTCTTCTGTGGAACGGACACTGTAGCTATGATGATAATCAGCATTACTGTTAGGATTGGATGCTATGGTGGCATTTGAGTGCCTGTGTGGAGTGGGTGTCCAGGCCTGGAAACACCCGTCCTTCATCAAAGAATCTTAGAATCCTAGAAAGTTAAAATTCTTAGAACCCAAGTGCTGGAAAGGGCTTTTGAGGCCATTTTGGTGGCCTCTCCATGCTTCCAGGGGCAAAGACAACTGACTTCATATGAAAGTTTTGGAGGTCCTCTCCCATTATTCCCTTAGTGCACATAATGAATGAATTCAAGTGCACAGCATTTAGGCCTGGGCTGCCAAGGGTTCTGCTCAGCTTGAGGACATCAGCTAAAAGCCACTGCCTGCATTTTCCAGCAGGGCTTTTCTAGCCTGGACCTACTGGAAGAGGAATCCATAGTGAGACAGAGGAAGAAAGGTAAATTATGTGGGCAGAATGTGCTGAGAGGAAGGCGTATAAGAGGCTGTTCTAGAGCAGCTAGAACCGACCAATTTAGGGAAGTGGAGGGAGGAGGTACTGAGCTTGAGGCCCTGAGATAGCATGTCCTTAAGGAAAGGGACTGTGGGGGTCTATGTATTAACATGTGGGATCAAAGTTCTGATCTTCACCTGGCACTGTTAGTCTCTGCACTGGGTAGGTGAGAACCCTGAGTAGTTCCAGCATCTCCTTGGGAGGAGCTGGGGACTTAGAGACAGACACTGGCATCTGGGAGGAGGCTAATTACTGTTTGCTGTCTCCCTCTCTCCTTCCCCTCAGCAAAAACAGTGGGAGCAGGCCAACTAGCTGGCAGTGTGTATGTCTGTCTGGTGCTATTTCTTTCTTGGACTCTGCCCTGAGGGCTGGGACAGGAAGGGTCAGTGGCCTTGAGCAGCACATTGGGGCACACACCTCCCCCCCCAAGCCTATGTTTCTCTGCAGCAATATCCAGATGTTTAGCATATAGTGTATGAGAATATGGGTGTGTAGTTGTGGGTCTCAGATCCCTAGAGAGCTGGTAGGTGGGGGTGGGTGAAGGTGAGCCCAAGGTGGGTGAAGTCTTCTGAAGCAGATAGCCTGAAGGATTTAGGTTGGGGGAGGAATGAGCTTGGTAGATATAGGGTAGGCCTCACTGGAAATGGAGTCGAAAGGCAGCTGAGATCATGTCATGCCTTGAGCCTTTTGACTGCAAGGCTTATACTTCTGGGCTTCATCATGGGGGCCACAAGCAGTTCCCTAACCCATAGAGAGATGTGATCCAACAAGTGTTTTAGACAGATCACATGATTGCTGTGAGCAGGAGGCACTGGAAGGGAAGAAATTGGGGGCAGGGAGGCCTACTGGGAGAAGTGTTGCAACAAGGAGAGGGTTGGCAGTTCCCAAATTAGAGCAGAGGCAATGTGACAGCTGGTGCATGAGTAGTAAAGATAAAGGCAGGAGGTGGCTGGCGCACAGGTGTGGTGCTGGGAGCAGAACAGGAAAGTAGACAAGGATGTGGTGATCAGTGACTGAGAGCAGGGTAGAGGGGGAAGACTGACCTCAGCATTAATATATGAACCCAACACTTCTCACCAACCAGGCCCTGGGACTGGGCCTGGTTTAGGGTATCTTCTTTATTCTCCAGATTAAATCTGGTTTCTGATTCAAAATCAAATTCCATGCCTGAACTGTCTCTTCTTTTTCCCAGCTCTTCCCCTTTGGAGACAGAGGAGGCAACTTACTGCCCTGTTAAAGGTCCCAAGGAGCTAGTTGGCCTTTCCCCTCTTCTACAATAACCATACCTCTATGGAAGACCAGGCTCTTCCAGTACCTTCTCCTTTTCTTCAGTCTGAACTGTCCCCATGTATGATTCTAGGGAGTTCTGACTTGACTCTGTGACCCTGGACAGTCCCTGATCCTCTACGGGTTTGTCTACCCATCAGGAAAACAGGCGTATATGCCACCTGCCTGCTCTCCATTCACTGAGTCCTGACTAATTTTGGCAAGCATTGGGGCCCATGAGAAAGGGTGGGTAAGACAAAGATGGATAATCCTGAGAGGCTCACCTTTGCCACTGGTCACGCTGATTACTTGCACTGGTCAAGGGCTCAAGTCCCTTCACAAAGTATACACCTCTTTCTTGCTACAGTGGATAGGTACACTATAGAAGTAAGACAGCTCAGTTTCATCTCTCTCTTCCCCTTCTAGAGTCCGGAAGGCCAGGTTCAGATGGGTTGGTGGGATGGCCTCACTGCCCAGTCCTTCCTTAGCTAGGGGCTGATGCCCCGGGACTCTCAGGAGAAGAGCCAGGCCTACCCCCGCTGTCGCCCTGGGAGCCACGCAGGCCGTAAGGGCCCCAAGGCCTCCGCAGCCGCCGCCATGTACACCTTCCTGCCAGACAACTTCTCACCTGCCAAGCCTAAGCCTTCCAAAGAGCTGAAACCACTGCTGGGCTCTGCTGTGTTGGCGCTGCTCCTGGTGCTCGCCGCCGTTGTGGCCTGGTGCTACTACAGCGCTTCTTTACGCAAGGCAGAACGCTTGCGCGCAGAGCTGCTGGACCTCAACCGCGGCGGCTTCTCCATCCGCAACCAGAAGGGAGAGCAGGTCTTCCGCCTTGCCTTCCGGTCAGGTGCGTTAGATCTGGACTCCTGCAGCCGCGATGGCGTCTTGCTCGGCTGCTCGCGCACCGCGGATGGGCGTCCGCTGCACTTCTTCATCCAGACTGTTCGACCCAAGGACACAGTCATGTGCTACCGTGTTCGCTGGGAGGAGACAACGGCAGGGCGCGCTGTGGAGCATGCCATGTTCCTGGGCGACTCCGCAGCACATTGGTACGGTGGCGCCGAGATGAGGACGCAGCACTGGCCCATCCGCCTGGAGGGCCAGCAGGAGCCACAACCTTTTGTCACTAGCGATGTCTACTCCTCTGACGCTGCCTTTGGGGGTATCCTTGAGCGCTACTGGCTGTCGTCGCGCGCAGCTGCCATCAAGGTCAATGACTCGGTGCCCTTCCACCTGGGCTGGAACAGCACGGAGCGTTCACTGAGGCTGCAGGCGCGCTACCACGACACGCCCTACAAGCCACCCTCAGGCCACATGGCAGCACCAGAGCTCAGCTACCGGGTGTGCGTCGGCTCCGATGTCACCTCCATACACAAGTACATGGTGCGGCGCTACTTCAACAAGCCGTCAAGGGTGCCAGCGCCCGAGGCCTTCCGGGACCCGATCTGGTCCACGTGGGCCCTGTACGGGCGCGCTGTGGATCAGGACAAGGTGCTGCAGTTCGCCCAGCAGATTCGCCAGCACCGCTTCAACAGTAGCCATCTGGAAATCGACGACATGTACACACCTGCTTATGGCGACTTCGACTTCGACGAAGCCAAATTCCCCAATGCCAGCTACATGTTCCGCAGTTTGCGCGATGCTGGCTTCCGTGTTACGCTCTGGGTGCACCCGTTTGTCAACTACAACTCCTCGCGCTTCGGCGAGGGCGTGGAGCGCGAACTGTTTGTGCGCGAGCCCACAGGCCGGCTGCCTGCCCTGGTGCGCTGGTGGAATGGCATCGGCGCTGTGCTCGACTTCACGCGTCCAGAGGCCCGCGACTGGTTCCAGGGCCATCTGCGGCGCCTGCGCTCACGGTACTCCGTGGCTTCCTTCAAGTTTGACGCGGGTGAGGTCAGCTACCTGCCGCGGGACTTCAGCACGTACAGGCCACTGCCTGATCCCAGCGTGTGGAGCCGGCGCTACACCGAGATGGCATTGCCCTTTTTCTCGCTAGCCGAGGTCCGCGTGGGCTACCAGTCGCAGAACATTTCGTGTTTCTTCCGTTTGGTGGACCGTGATTCGGTGTGGGGCTATGACTTGGGCCTGCGCTCGCTCATCCCTGCTGTGCTTACGGTCAGCATGCTGGGCTACCCATTCATTCTGCCTGACATGGTGGGCGGCAACGCGGTGCCCGAGCGCATGGCGGGCAGAGGCGATGTGCCAGAGCGCGAGCTGTACGTGCGCTGGCTGGAGGTGGCTGCTTTCATGCCAGCCATGCAGTTCTCTGTCCCACCGTGGCGCTATGACGCTGAAGTGGTAGCCATCGCGCACAAGTTTGCCGCGCTGCGGGCCTCGCTGGTAGCGCCACTACTGCTTGAGCTGGCTGGTGAGGTCACCGACACCGGTGACCCCATCGTACGCCCCCTCTGGTGGATCGCACCTGGCGATGAGACGGCACACCGCATCGACTCTCAGTTCCTTATCGGGGACACGCTGCTTGTGGCACCGGTGCTGGAGCCCGGCAAGCAAGAGCGTGACGTCTACTTGCCTGCTGGCAAGTGGCGCAGCTACAAGGGCGAGCTTTTTGACAAGACACCTGTGCTTCTTACCGATTACCCCGTGGACCTAGATGAGATTGCCTATTTCACCTGGGCGTCCTGACCCAGGCTAGGCCCCCAAAACCCCATAGCCCTAACCCCAGCCTTCCTCCAGGTCTGTAACTCTCCATCATACCCGCACTGTGTACCCCCATCAAGCCCTACCTTTGTGCCACCCACTCAGAGGGTGCTGGCAGTAAATGTGCTCAAGCCACCTCCAGGGGGCCTGGGGTGGGGTCACTGAGGCAAACGACCACTCCAACAAATAGCCCTATTGTAGCCCAGATTCTCTGCGGAAACCTCTTTCCTGGAGTCCTGGTGAGAGAGCTCAGAGGAAAAATGTCAGCTCTCTTCCTGTTACACATGTTTGGGTTTTAAAAGCACAGAGAAACCTCTCCCCTTTTACCTTGGCCTGAGTGGCCACCTTTGTCCTTCTGAGGTGGGGGCTTTATCCCCTTTGAAGTCCTCAAATCGCTCCCTGACACTTAGGGCACAGTTTTGGAGTTGAAAGCCAAGCCCTGATTTCTAACACTGGCTCTTGACTCTGAGGCTGAATTGTGGCTGCTGGCTCCACAACAGCTTGGAAGAAGGGATAGAGGTGTTTGGCCAACTAACAAGGAGGCAGGAGATCCTCTCCCAGGGAGTCCTACTGGGAGGGTCTGGGCTCAGCATGGAGCCATCATCATCCCTTATTTGTGAAGAATCTCCTAATACTGCACTAACCCGTCTATATACACACGTCGGCTCAGCCCTGGGCCAGGGCCCTGTACACTTACTTGATGGGCACAGACTTACAGGGCCCATACAGGCCAGACTTGGTGCCTTAACTCAAGAACCTTTGTGTGTGTGAGAATGTGTAAGCAAGAGAGAGAGACCATGTGTTACTGGATCTATGGAATGAATACATCCCTGGGGCTGGATAAGCCTGAAGGGAAGGTATGGAGCAAATTTGCAGCTTAGATTGTTGACCTAGTCCCCTCCTAGGTGGTGACCCTAGGGCTCTGGAAGGAAATAAACAGCCCTTTCAAGATTCCTCAGCTGCCTCACTCGCTCCGTACATGTGGCAGGGGCGTGCCCCAACAGGGAAAGACGCTCTTATTCTGGTAGTGGTGTGCTCTAGTACATGAGCTGCACGCACACACTGACACCTGCAAATACACACATGGGTGAAGTTTTTCATCTCAGTCATTTTCTGTTTCTAAGAAGAGCGACTTCAACCAGAATAGTTTTTCCTGACTTTGCAGCTGGAAGGAATGGTTTGCTGAAGGGGGAAGGTGGGAAATGATGGGATTTAGCACCTCTCAACAGTTCTGACAGCAGAAACGGTCCCCCATCTCTGGTGAATATGTTCTTTTGCCCATGCTTCCAACTTGCCTGTTTTTCCAGTGTAGTAAATGCCTGGTGAAAGCTTTGGAGCACTCACAGATGCCTACCTTGAATGCTGATTATACCACTCATCTACCAGCTATGTGACCTTGAGTAAGCCACTTAACCTCTATGAGCCTCGGTTTCCTCATCTCTAAAATGATACTAATGCCTACCTCCCAGGTTGTAAGAATTAGAAGCACAGATGTATGTAAAGTGCCTGGCACAAAGTAGGTGCTCAATAAAAGGTAGCTATTGTAATGCTATTTCTTGTTTTGAAACCAGAAGGATTCATCCAGGCCCAGCTCCCAGCCCAACTGCTTCCTCTGGGCCTATGTGTGATCCCTCCCTGCAACCTCCTGCACCTAGCACTTAGTTAACCTCCGTGACCCAAAAGACACTGTGGTTTAGGAGAGAGGCAAGGGGAGAGCTATTTGATGGTGGGATGTCAGGAGTTAGGATTCCTGGGTCTCCAGGAGATGGGAAAGGAATGGAATTAGCTTACCTCTACTTTTCATCAAAAGCATCTACCAATTGGTTTTTCCTGATGAGTCTGCGTAGGACCCTGGTACCCAGTCCTGTGCTGTGGTGTAGAAGGAAGACACCTAGGCTGGGCCCTGAAAAGCTCCCTAAATGACTGGAGAGCAAAACTCATATTTGGGTGGCCCACCAGCCTTCTCTTCAACCTGAAGTCAGTTTACCTAACCTCTGTCTTTGTTCTCTAGTGCTACTCTAACACTAACCACAAGTGGATGGCTTTAACAAATAGGAATTTATTCTCCTACAGTTTAGGAAGCTAGAAGTCCAAATTCAGAGTGCCAGCTCTAGGGGCTAAGTGAGGGCCCCTTGACCTTTGGCTTCAGCTCTACCTCTTGTTCCAGGTCCATTGAAGCTGGAAACTTCCTAACTCAGGTAGCTAGCTGTAGGCTACTGAGGCTAAGGAACCCAAGATCAACAGGTAAAATGGCACAATCCCAAGATCAGCAGGCCACTGGTTCAAGTCCAGGAACGAGAGATGAAGACTCAGCCAAATGTAAGATCCAAAATATGCCAAAAGCTAAGGACGTTCCTCAAAATTTCTCCATATATACTGGAAGCAAGCCACACCCCCAAAGGCAACTACTTAGCTACTCACAGCAGATTACACCATGGAAGTGATTACAATCTCAGCATGGGGAGTAACTATATCCACCTACCAAACCACTCAAAACCATGGCCAAGTTGACACAAAACTTTAACTATCACACTATATGAGCCTTGTTTCCTTCATCTCTGAAAAGAGTTTCCAGGATTCACTGAGATGTCTGTAAAGCACTTATGCAAAGCTTGGCACAGAGTAAGTGCCTAATGGTAATTCTTACTAATGACAAGAAACAAGGAGAGAGCAGCTCTGACTAGAACCTATGTTGCCCAATATGGTAGCCCCTAGCCACATGTTCCTTCTTAAATTCAATTTTAACATTAATTAAAATTCATTTCCTCAGGGACTCTAAACCACAGTTCAAGTGCTCAAAAGCCACATGTGCTTCGTGGTTACCCTACTGGACAATACAGATAGTAGAACATTTTCATAGCTGCAGAAAGTTCTATCGGACATCCCTAGACCAAGCACTGTGCGCTGCCTGACACATTATGGGGAGGGGAAAAGAAATCTGTGAGGGCTCCATGGAGGAGGAGGAGAACCCTTTAGAAGGGGACTGAGGGTAGGAAGGGATGTCTTAAAGCCTGTGTGGGCAGTATGGCATATTGCACTCTATGCCAACTGAGTACTCACTGTATTTTGGGACAGGGCCAAATCCAGCAAACTGGCCATATCAGGGTTCCATCAGAAAATGATCCAGCAGGAAAGTGTGTGTGTGTGTGTGTGTAAACCAAACCTACTGCTATCCAGTCAATTCTGACTCATAGTGACCACCACTGGGTTTCCAAGGTGGTAAATGTTTATGGAAGTTGTTTGCCTCATCTTCCTTCTGCAGAGTGGCTACTGAGTTTGTTCTGGTTAACAGTCAAATGTCTTAGACACTGTGGCATCAAAGTTCCTCTGTGTGTGTGTGTGTATAAATGATGTGTATAGAGGTGTGCCTCATTTTCTTGGATTTTACTTTATTGCTCTTCACAGATAATGCATTTTTACACATTAGAGATCTGTAGCAACCCTGTGTCGAGCAAGTCTATCGTTGCCATTTTTGCAACAGCAGGTGCTTACTCCATGTCTGTGTCACATTTTGAAAATTCTTACAATATTTCAAACTTTTTCATAATGCTATTGCATACTTAATAGACTACAGAATAGTATAAACATAACTTTTATATGCACTGAGAAACCAAAAAATTTGTGTGACTCACTTTATTGCAGTGGTCTGGACCAGAACCTGCACTATCTCCAAGGTATACTTGTATATGGATCCACTGCTGTCAAGTCAATTCCAGCTCTGTAGTGACCCTATAGGACACAGTAGAACTGCCCATAGGGTTTTCAAGGCTGTAATCTTTACGAAAGCAGACTATTACATCTTTCTTCCATGGAGCAGTTGTGTTTGTGTGTGTGTGTGTGGGGGGGAAGGGTATGATTTATTTCAAGAAATTGGCTTACATGATTGTGAAAGCTGGCAAGTCTGAAATCTGTAGAAAGGCCATAGGCCAGCAGGCAAAATTTCTTCTTCTTCAGGGAAACTTCAGTTTTACTATTAAGGCCTTTCAGTGTATTGGATTATTGAGAATAATCTCCTTTACTTAAAGTCAATTGATTGTAGATATAAACTACCTCTACAAAATATCTAGGAGCTCTGGTAGCGTAGTGCCTAAGGCACTTGACTGCTAACCAGAAGGCTGGCAGTTCAAACCCACCAGCCACTCCTCAGAAGGAA